AATATCACTGCAAATAAGGCATTTTTGTTTATGCTTCTCTTGATGTTTCGAGGTAAGGAAGCAAAGTTATGGTTCTCAATTAGTTATCTAGTTAGATATTAACCTTTTTTTTTTTTACGACGCCGGGATATTCTGGCCTTGTGAATTAGACTAATTTCCTGAGGCTGGCAGAGCCCTGTCTAAGAATGTCAGCACATTACCAATGAGAGTCGAACTGAGGACCTGCTACTAAAGAGCGGGCTACGGAAATTTCCTCTCGTAATTTCCCTCATCTATTCCTTTGGTTATCTTGTTAAATCTGCAATTCCACTTAGAAAGTTTTTCCTTCTTAGAATTTGACTTTTCACTCATAAATTCCCTCTTCTATGCCCTTTTGGTGAGTCATTGTTCTTCATATTGGTTAGTAATTCAAAGAACGATGTCACAAGATGATCCCACTATTACGAAACGTTGAAAATTAGTGAAGAATCTTTGCGCTTTTGTAAAAGTTCGTGGAGAAAAAGAGAGACTGAAAATTAGATAAACTCGAGGAAGTTAATATATGTTATCAACATTGGGTAATTATTGAAATTGTGCAAGTAATATTATTAGTAATAACAAATGTTATACAAGCACTCTCATGGTTAATTAAATCAGTTATGACAAGAAAACTAAATGAACGCAACATTCTTTTTCTTTTACATGAATAAAATGTAACAGTAATGAGAACATGATTAAGCACCTTTTTAGTTAAGTATGAAACTAATGCACAGGCATTTGCACTTTATACCTTCATAGTGGGTAGAGAATCCAGTGGCCTTTCCCCAAAGTGAAAATCTTTAGTCCCTTGCCATTGTTAGACTTAAAGTTGGGTTGAAATTGACAAGTTCATGACATAAAATTATTTTAAAGACTGACAAATTCATGGTTAAGTTACGCAAGACTATAATATTACTGATGGAATAGAAGGATATTGATCAATACTCTTATAAAATAGGTTCTCATGCATTTTTTTCTTCTTCTCTTCACGAGTAGGAGTATCAGTAGGTACAATTACAAAGACTTTCTTTTACATCTTCAGCTTTATCGACCATTACAAACTTGGAAAACTATTCAATTTATGGAATGCCAACAAGCAGATACTCAAAGAATCACAACTTCATGACATTAATTTATGCTAAACATTGAAAAACTCATGGCCAAGTTTATGAAAGTATCATGGCCCTGTTTGGCAAACAAGTTTTTTGCCAAGTTTGTCTGCTACAAGTTTTTTAAAAACTTTACCTACAGTAACCTCAAAAAACTTTTCAAAGTTTTTAAACAATACACTTCAAAATATTAAAAAAAAAAACACACTTCAAAAAATTTTTTAAAAATTTCTATAGTAAGCTATAGTAAAGTTTTAGACAAACACCCAAAAAACTTACTTGTCAAATGGGGCCTACTCTTTTGTATGCACATATTATACTTACATTACATAGAAAAGTACTAACATAGCTCCAATGCATGGCTTAAGAAACTAAAAATAAACAAAGAACTTATATAGTACGGAATGTTTTATAAATTCAAACAAAGAAGAGGTCAAAATTATAGTGAACATAAACGTATATTCAATAGAGGTTAGTGGCTCCAAGCAGATGAACATTCCTCCCACTAGTTAGTTTATTGATTAACAGGTGTAACAAAGGAACCTACAATAATGAAAGCAAGAGAAGTAATATAAAATGTGCAATTGGGACATAAAGAAAAGCTAGAAAACAAAAACAGAAGTTGGGAAGAGATCTTCTCCAAATCTTCTCATCTAACCATTCTTATCATTACTTTAATCTTCGTGAAAAAGAAATTGTAAATGAAAGAGAAAGAACCAAAAAATTAAAGTGGTGAACCAATGGGTTTGTGCCTCGGGTCTTGTGGGTGGCTGCTTTGCGAACATGAAGCTGTCGGCTCTAATTGTGACTACCACTTTGATTATTGTGTGAACATAGTACCATATGGCAATGTGCATGATACATAGGTAAAGTCTTCTAATTGGGAGTATATTTTTTTTTCCAAATTTGGTCCTCTCTGTTGTTGTTCTTGAAACTTGTTTTTATGAGTTCCTCACAAAAGGAAACAACACTCTCTACTTTGTTTTAGATTTTATGGCTTCGCTTGAAATTTGAGAATAATTTTTTCTAAAAGTACAGCAAAGAAATTATTATTTACAAGATTATTAGAAATCGTCCAACATAATTTATAATAGCCGTTACTCCTTCAAAAGATACTCAAAACTACTTAGCAATTGATTAATTTGGTGCAATATTATTGTTTGAGTAGACTTGGTTATTATATTAGCCTTGATTATCTTATCCTAACCTTTCCTAGGCTGTTTTCTTTCAGTTTTATCACTGAAAATTTATCCTTCTTGTTATATAACATTAATTCATATCATTGATGATTTTCCCAAGATATACTGCAATTTTTTTTTTTTTTTTAACATTGTCTAGATTCAACTAACTGCTTGAATGAATTTCTGCAGGTCATGGTGTACAATAAATGATCTGAGCTGTTTTACCTCAGCTTTACTTAAAGGCAGTCTTAACATATATTTACTCACATTCCTGACATCTTTATGCTCAATTACTGCTTGACACCAATACATCCACTTCTGCCACAAATTAGTTTAGGATCAAGATTCTTAACAATTGCAAAATTCTTTTGTACTTTGTATATGTTCATAAAACACATGCAAGTACATTCTTAAATGTAAATGCAGGTCCAATCAACCATTCATTGCGTCAATAAATAATTGACCTTTCAAGGAATGAGCGTGCAGGTGCAACTCAAGTTCTACACGGATTACAATTTCCGTGGCCTGTAGAAAATGAAACATATTAATAAACTGATAGATTCTTATCCTTGGTTTCTTCACCCAATTTTAGGTTAACATAAATCCTCACTATCAACTAACTAAATTAGCAAAAAGCCATAAATTCTTGTTTAATGAACAAAACCTCCAAGGATTGTATTTCAGGGCTCAAATAAATGGTAGGGAATAACTCCAATAATCATAAAGACTGGATTTTATATTTATTGGACTGCTTTAAATAATCAATGCAAGTTGTCTTTTACCATCAAAAGACTTAGACATCAACCAAATTTCGTTTTCTTGAAACAATTTATAAACTTTAAAGCTTAATAACTAGTACAAACCAATGAATATTAATTGGACAACCACCTGGGATCGGCTCTTTTTCATCACTTAGTTTAGTTAAACTGGGGACTAAAATCTTGTGACAGATTCGACACAGCTTTTCTCAGGGGCCAGCATATTTGAGTTAGTGGCTGTGGACCATGTCCGTTGTCTGGTAGCCTAATGGCATGACTAGATGGTGAAAATGTGGCATGTTTAGACATTAGTAACGATGATACTCTGCACAATTATTATCATTGCAATAGCACTAAACCACGATAATATCTTCTTTCCATTTTAGAACTGCCATGTTCTTAATTTTTTTTGTTGTCACCGTCACTTTTATCTGTATCGTATTCTATCCTAATTTAATTAGGAGAGGCCTAACTAGGTCTACGGGGTGGTGGGAACGGTGCCAGACGAGTGCACTACGCATCCGTCTGAATTTTTTAGCAGAGCCGCTTAATGTAGCAATTGATGGAAGGCAAGATTTGACGCCTTGATCTTCTATCCTACTAAACCTTAAGGACCGGTCTTGGTGGTTATTGCCATGTTCTTAATGGATACACTCATTATTACACTTAAATTAGACATAATTATTGTGTAAATATACACAATTATAGCTATTGATTTCTGTTGCATTACATAATCTTCTAAAAAATTAAGAATTAATATTTCCTACACCGACAGTGTATACACTGTCAATATTGGATGAATGACAACTATCTAAAATTTGAATTTAAAATTTAATTTTTGCACATGTATCATGGATCCAACGGTAATAGTGTATGCACTGTCAGTGTATATAAAATTTACTCAAAAATTAATACTAAATTTTGAGTGTTTTTGGATGATTGAATTATTTCAAATAATATTTCGTTTGTATCATAAACATATTTTTCAATCCACTTTTTTATATTTTTAATTATTTTTTATCTCACATACATCATATCATAAAAAGTAATACAATAATTATTTTAAATAATATTTCAAATAATACTTTATCTAAACACATTATTTATTTTAACGAGGGTTCAATGGATACTTATACAAATAAACAATACCCTTCATTTTTAATTTTTTATATGTGATACATGGTACTTACATTCACTGACTTGGATCTACATTATCTCTTGTACTTGGAACAGAAAATTTTTCAAGATCTGAACCCATTACTGTATGCTAGAAAGAAGACTAGATGTGCTTGTCAATTCATGTAAAAGGCAGTGTGGAATGGAGGTGGGCATGGGAATTGTTATGGGTGTCCAGTCAAGTTGCTAAAAAAAGCAATTTGGTAGAAAAACCCTGAACAGAATCTAAAGCCAACTTTTTAGATTTTTTTTCTTTTTTTTTTCTTTTTGGTTTTCCTTTTTTATTTTTTTTGCCTTTTTTGAGGGTGGAAGATGATCGATGAGAGAGGAAAAGCAGTACAGAGAGAGTACAGAAACAGACACCCTTTATTGTTCTAGTAGTAGCACAGCAGCATCAGTTTTTGTGGGACTTACACAATATATGGTGTCCTTTGCCCTTTTCTCTCTCTGTCTTGTAGTGTGCGACTGCATCAGTAGTAGTACTACAGTAGTTAAAGAAAGAACCAACAAAAATGTGTCAAGTCTGTTTTCTGCTTTTCTTCTGACTTATCTGACGTCCCACCACCTTCTCTCTCCTTCTTTCTCTCTCTCATTCATGATCTTATCTCCATCTACTGCCGTGTTTGTTATCTTTTCTTCTTCTTCTGCTCTTGTTCTCACCGTATTTGGTAAAAACTACAGAACTTGAAAGCTTTCTGCCTGTCTTGTCATCAGAGTAGCTGAAGCCTGCTGCTTTTGGCAAACTCGTGAGGTATGCAGTGTCTTACTTCCTTTTTTATGCTGCAGGCTAGATTTTGGATGTTAGTACGCTTACTTTTTGGGTAGATGATTAGTAATATATGATCTAGTTTTTTTTTTTTTCATGTGCCTGTTGAAATCTTTGGCTGGTTTTTGTGGGCTCTTGATTATCTGGAATTTTGTTTCTTCATAAAACAAAGCTGTATTAACAGGGGATTTGGCTTTTATCACTTTTTTCTTGACATGTTCCAGTTTGATGGTTCAAGTCTTCCATGTTTCTTGACATATGACCTGAAGATGTTCTGCATAACCTTATATGATGTTCTACTAAATGATGTTTCAAGTTTTCTCGTTGTCTATGTTGTTTGGTTAAACTTCAGCTCTGATGAGGATGCTTATTTGTAGTATTCATAGAATATCCTTTGCTATGGCCCCTAATTATTGAAGGGTTGGAGTCTTTTCTTTCATATGCCTAGAAGAAAATTAATATTTTCAAAATTTTAAAATACAAGAAACATATTTACTGAGTGATATATTAGATCTGAGGCTCTTTGCTTAGGCAGGCTGACCTGGTGTTTATATTGGGTCACATGCTACTTATTGGTGTTTCTGGATACTTTTTGTCTCCTCTGTTGGATGGTAAAACCATTATACTACTATTTGGTTAATCTGTTTGTTGCTCATAGCTATTGTCATAAGGTTGTGTTCTAGAAATAGTTCACCAGTTCCTTTGTATCTCCTGTGGTTTATTAGTTCTGGGTCAATGGAGGGACTATGATAGTTGCCCATTTTCTGTTTTGGATACCAAAAAAACTAGCATACATGGACTTACAAGTCAAAATTTTATTTGTGTGCTTGTCCCATTGTTTTTCCATCAAAATTTTCATTTTCTTCTTTTGCATTGTAATCAGAATATAAAACTTATCCAGAATTGCAAAGGCTGCAAAATATTTCCAAACTGAATTAGTAAACTTTAGATTGACATTAGAATTAGACAGAGCTGTGCTATTTAGAGTCAAATGACATGGAGGTTTTAACCTACTATTCAGTGGGCACATATATTCTTCTGAGTGAAACTGCTTTCTGATGAAAAAATTGTTAGATTAACCAAATGAAAGAAAGTTTGGGTGTATAATCTGGTGGCAAGTTTAGAGCAGTCCTGAGATATTAGGGAGCATCCATCAAAGTTTAGATGGTAAATTGTGAGCTAAAGCAAAACAGTTTTTGGCTTTCAAAAAGATATTAAGTGGCCACTACCATTTTGGTTTGTTGAAGCAATTCTTGCTACCTATTTTTACTTAATCTGCTTTACTCCTTTTTATTGTGTGTCATATGAGGGTTCTTATGCCATGATAAGTGAGTTACTCTTGACTAGATATTTCTTAGCTGATGATTTAAGAGTTCTCATGTGGGCTTTGACCATGACTGACTTAGTGATTAATTGTAGTCACAATTAATCTTTACCAAAGACGTAATTATGCAGAAAATGTACTAAAAATCCACATGGATCCTTAGTACCACAAAGGGAATCTAATCAATTTATGAATGTTTTGGTATGAAAATGAGAAGAGAAGAGCAAGCAATATACATACTTCTCTTTCTTGCACCTGGTTTTGGTAACTGCGTGATTGAAATGGATGCGTTGATTCTTAAAATCCATGATTTTTGAATAGGTTTGTCTTAACCAAGGATAAAGAAAGAAATCCTTTGGAAATCTTTTTTTCATTATCGTTTCTCTCCTTCATGTTGTTGCTGTATATTAATTCGATTACCTATATACTTTGTTTCTATGGAATTTCATAATAGAAAACGGAAAGGATTTTGAATCTGGGAATGCAGGAAACACTCAGACTGGGGCTTCATTCAACATATGCTTCAATAAACCCAAACAAATTATTGCTTCCTAACATTCTATCATTTTTAAGGAACCTAATGGTGATTTGATGAATTGAATTTCGTCATGATGTTGAAATTAGGCACACAGGTGCTAGAGAAGACAGGGTCCTACATATGCTGGCTTACTATTTGGCTTTGACGTGGTCATTCAGGCATAAGCTTCATTTTGAAATCCACGGTATATGGAAGTCGGTATACAGAATTAATCTCACGTCTTTTAGTTTCATGATACTAAAAATGCCATTAGTCTTCCATTTTGCGGTTTGAATGTAGTTCTGTGCTTTTCCATTGACTACAGTTCGCTCAGTGGAAGATGTTATTATTAACTAAGTGGCAAATAATTTGCAAGTAACTTGCATCTAAGAATCAGAGCGATTGACCATGTACTTTTTCTAGAACATTAAAAGTCCATGCTAAAGAAGATAAGCAAGAATGATATCAGAAAGTCTTGGATACTGCTGGCTGTGTTCTGCCTGCGACATAATTGAGATGGTGGCCTTGTTCCATAAAATTAATAGATAGGAACTTTGTCATAAAAAAATGTTGATATCTATCTGGCAGTTTCTTTATTGATCTTGAATTGCATTAGTTACCATCCAATGACGTTCATCCGTTTATGTTAATTTACATTGGGTCTAGAAATCTATTTCTAAGGCCTTAACTTCTTGAAAATGTATAGGTGAGAAGTAAACACTTGCTAAAAGAGAGAACTAAGACATTGATAGGAACTGGTATATGTGTATCTGAACTGCTGTATCATCTTGTTTAAGTTGAAGATTTTATAGGATAGGATCATATCTACGTTACCCATCATGAAGCAGCACCCCCCCCCCCCCTCCCCCCCCCCCAAAAAAAAAAAAAGGACTCGACATTGATGTTTCTTGTTCCTTGTTGTGGAAACTTGTTTAGCCATCTTATGAGGAACACTATAAGGAGAATTTTTCGTTGGCTTGTCCAATGAAGTAGCTGCATGTTCTATGACCATTTGCAGAACTATTGGCTTTATAGTACTGTAAGATAAGAAGTGTAAATAGCCTATACATTCTCCTGGTAACTATTATGTGAGATAGGGGACAAGTGGTTTTCCATTTGATGTTCCTAAAGAGAATCCATTGTCCTGAAAGCTTGTTTTTCATCAGAAGAGTACAAGTGTATACGTTCAGAATGTATTGGAGTCCCCACCATGAATATGCATTTGGGTTTTAAATGATATTTAGATGCACCTGCTGTTTTCGTAGCTGAAGTAACGAGTATTTGTGATCGCCCTCTATTCCTGCTTTTTCTATGGGAGTTAACTGTGACTCTGATGGTTACAAATGATGTGTGCCTATTGATTTACATTCTTTGTGGTCTTTCAATTGAGAATTGTTTGTGTCCTACCTGGTTAAGCTTGTCTAGTTGCCCAAAGGAAATAGGATGGTTCCATCAACCAATTTAGTTTCTCGGCTTAGTGTCCTGTCTCATGGAATTTAGCTGCCTCTGATTTTTTTAATTTTTTGTTAATTTTTTTAGTTTCTAATAAACATCATTTTGTTGGAAAGTCACCTTGAGTTTGTTGGGGTTTGGAGGTTTGTCATGGACCGATGCTAGCTTGCTTTTGGCAGATGTACTGTCTAACCTCCTTGGCTTATGTAGAAAGTCTGAATTAGGGAAGTGTGTCTAGCCTAGCCTATTTAAACCTGAATGATAACACGAGGAATGACCATTTGCGCAATCTACATTTGCTACAAAATCCTGTAAAAGTAGTTTTTGCGACCCATAGAAATGGGTAAGAAAGGTAGCACTGAAGCTTACAGCCTGTCAGGAGTTTTAATGTGCTTGTACTCTTTTACCAAGCTACTAAAATTCACAATGCCTTGCAATCTGAAAATTATGAATTAACAGTACTCCTTGTGTGCACCTTCTTACCTATTTATTTGGGGTTGCCGACACTGTTTTGTCCAGGAACGTCATCTCAAATTGCCTTAATCAGTACAACTGCTTTTACCTCTATCGCCATGTGTGTTTCCAAATAAGTTAGAGATGGTCGTCCTTGCTCCTCCTCTATGTTTCTGTTAGTGCATGTATGTGTGCTGCTTTCGGAAATACTTTTTTGTAATAACTATGGCACAATACTTTCAGGTTCATAAACAAGAAGCATTAGTTGTGAGTGGTAACAAGATCTATTACTAGTCAAGGGACTCCTTTGTACTTCAGTGCTCTACCCCAAAATGAAGGCACCAACTATTAACCTTGAATCTGAAGAGGATTCTGAGGTGAGCAGTCAAGTTGCCTCCAACATATCCACCCAAGAAGTCTCTCCTGGTCCTTCGAAGGAGAGCATTACTTCTTCACCGTCTCTCACACACTCACTTGATCTAGAAAGGGATCCAAGGCCAGTTACTCTTGACTTGACTCTTGGCTTCAACAGCAGTGATACTGATTCGAAGGGTGTTGGTGAGAATAATGGTGAAGTATTTCCTCATCCCCCAACTCCAGGAGTGTCCAGGGTATTCTCCTGTAACTATTGTAGGCGCAAGTTCTATAGCTCGCAGGCATTAGGCGGTCATCAAAATGCACACAAGAGGGAGAGGACACTTGCAAAGAGGGCCATGCGGATGAATATGATATCAGATCGCTATGCCAGCTTGGCATCTCTTCCCCTTCATGGATCTGCATTTCGGTCTTTGGGCATTGAAGCTCATGCTTCGGTGCACCAACCAATTATGTCATCAGATAGGCCTCTCCATGCAATAAGAGGCGGAGCAAAGTTTGAACAAGGTTATTTTGGTATGCCAGTGTATATGGAAGATGATGAAGTAGAAATGTACTGGCCTGGCAGTTTCCGACAAGTTGAAGGAGTTGCCAGCAATCTGGCTTTGAATTCTGGGCAAAGTTCCAGCATCAATTTTGTAGCAGTGGCACCACCGCCTAGAGCAGACTCATCAACAACACCTGATCTAAATTTGAAACTTTGACGAGTCATCTTCTCTTTTGTAATACGAAGTCATAATTATTTCTTCTGAATTCATAATTTTGTGACAATTTGCTAATGTACAGGGATTAAGTGTTAAGGGTTGAATATGAGCTTTTTAATCCTAATTCCTCCTCAACTTAATTATGCTGTCTCTAACAGATGCTTCAGTTCATTAATTACGTTATTCAACTTTCTGCAGTAAGAAGATTGCAAGGAATATATGCCCATTTGAATATGCAGATTTTCGGCAGTCTTGTAACTGAATGCATGAACATGTGCTTAGCTGAACAGAATGATATTTTTGGTATTCTTCAGGATGTCACATCATTACCTAGTGATTGACCTTGAATTAATATGGAAAAGTCAATTTACGGAATGAGGTGCAAGAAAAAGGAGAGGATTTTCATATTACATTTAAAAAAAAAGCAAAAAAGTAAGCATAAAACAAAATCTGCAAGCAGTGGTCCAGAATTTCTTGTTGATCAAATTTCAAAGCATGGGAGGGCTCTAAGCTATTCTAACTCCTTTCAGGACCTTTGTAACTTGACAGAGTACTTAATTTGAGCTTCAGGGGGCCATGCAGATGAATCTTTTTTCCTGTAATTCATAAATCTAGCTGAATTAGTGATACCAAATGTGGAAAACTATTTAGATGTGATAGTAAAAGATGTAGCGTGGAAGGCATATTCATTTGGCTGTATGATGACTCAGTTGGCTGGGTGAATGAGGACCTTCAAGTCATCATTGCCCCAACCTCTCTGTGATTCCTCTATTTGCAGTGCTGAATCAACAGCAGATTTTGATGAGCGATATATACCTCAATGAGTTGCAATGTGCAAATTTATCCAATTGCAGATGGTATTTCAGCAAGATCCAGACATCCATTTAGCACTAATGTTTCAAGGCTAGGGAAGTTATCAGCAGAGGCAATCCACTCCTGAAGATCCATATGTGACAATTTCAAGAACTTGAGATGCAGAAAACCACCTTCACATGTTTCCCACTTTGGTCCACTGAAGAAATTCTCTTTTACTCTGAGAACCTCCAAGTTAGGTAGCAAACCAATAATGGACATCTCTTCCCAATTTACATGGCTGCCAAATGAGAGTCAATTTTTTCAAACTTGATGGGAACTTGTCAGGATGGCAAATGCTTACAGGCACCATGCCAAAAGTCTGATATTCAAATTTCAGCGTTTCAAGCATATATAAATTTGCAAGATCAAGCAAAGATAAAGGGTCCTCACTGTTTGATAAAGTGGCATGAAATCCCAAACTTCTGACATTAGGAATTCTTGACAACAGATCCTGGAGAAAACCTGAAGTAGATAGCTGGGAGATTTTATAGTCTTCCGGACATGCTCCAAGGTAAAGAAAGCATGATTTCAACCTCTGAGGCAAGTGTTTATAACTCAACTCTAAAACATTCATGAACTGCTCTGCATCATATCAATGTACAAATCAATATTTTGAGCAATACACAACCCCCATTCACGCGTCTTTTCTTTCTTCGAAATCAATCCAGATACAGCCACAATTGCAAGAGGCAATCCTTTGCATTTTGCTACAATGTTCTTTCCCATTTCCATTAAGTCCTGAGGGCAGCTGCCATTAGGGAATACTTTGCGCTCAAATAGATCCCAGCTTTCATCTTGACTGAGAAATCGCAGATAGTACGTGGGACTACCATTTCTAGGATTCCCAGCCACGTTTCTTATTCGACTTGTCATTAAAATTTTACTGCCATTTTCGTCATTTGGAAAGTACTTCTTCAGATCATTCCAGACCTCCATATCCCATATATCATCAACGACAATTAAATATCTTTTGCCTTTCAAGCATTTGTATAACTTTTCTCCCATTGACTCATTACTCATACGTAGGGATTCTTTATCACGGATCAAATGAAGTAAGATTTTTTGCAACACATTACCTTTTTGTTCACTTGAGAGACAAATGCCCATGCACGAACGTGGAAGTGATAAACAATGAGTGGATGGTTGTACAGTCTTTTAGCCATGGTTGTCTTACCAATACCTGCCATTCCAACAATTGAGATAACTTTTGAGTTTTTTGTTTTGTTCTGTTAGCCTCTCGAGCAGAACCCGTGCCTCATCATCAAAACCTACAATTATTTCTTCTCCTTTGATGGAGCTACTGCTCTTCCTCTCCAAATTCTCCGACTCAAATTTTCCATCTAGTTTTCTGACATCAGGGAAGCCATCCACACAAACTTGCATAATCTCTTTCTTCATAGAGCTAATTTTTCCTGCCAAAACAGCAAGCGCTGGAGATTGAAATAGTTCGCAAGCAACATTTCTCATTTTTCTGCAGAAGTGATCTACCCTTGTTTTTGCATGTACATGTGTCTAGTGCAACTCTGATGCTAATGGATTCCATCCATCCTCCTCATTTTGATAATCAGGACAGCTACAAGGACGGAACACAAAAATTTTGCTACCATTGACATCATTTGGAAAATACTTCTTCAAATCAACCCAGATCCCAATATCAAATCTCTGATAAATGACAATTAAATATCTCTTTCCCTTCAATAATTCATTCAACCTTTCTCCCAATTCCTGAACCTTGACACCGTAACCAGAGTCTTTATCACCAGAAACAGTACCTAAAATTTGCTCCAACAATTTTCTTTGTGGCTCATTGTGACACAAGTTTCCTTTTCTACGTACCTTAAAATGATCAACAAGAGTGCTTGTCACGCCAGCATACGATATAACTTCTAGTTCCTTGTGTCCTCCAGTAAGCCTTTCTAGCAGTGCTTTCTTCTCCTCTCTGTAACCCAATACAACTTCTATCTCTGCATTAGAGCCATTGCTGCTTCCTCTGGACAAATCTTCATCACAAGAAGCATATTGTTGGATAATTGGCTACAACAATGTTAACACTATCTGCTTGAGTCGTGCGTAGCACTGTCCTAAGAAACTATTTCATGAAATTGAAATGTTTCCCCAGGATTAAACAAGCCTTCTTCTATTTATTGCGAACAAGAAAGACAAACTTTCTTCTTGTTGCAAACTAGAAGGACCAGAACTAGCAAATTAAAACCAGCAGATATATATATAAAAAGGATGAGAACAGAATTATCAGGAAGATATCAACTAACAAAAAAATAAAAGAGAGAGAGAGAGAGGGATAGAGCAGCTATCAAAAGATATTAACTGAAGCTGCTGGGGTGATTTTCTGAGGGAGAAGTGGATCCTATTTATAGACTTTAGAGTGAGGTGCAACCCTTCTCACTTCCGATGTGGGACAAAGACTGCAACCCTTCTCACTTCTCAATGTGGGACAGAGAAAATAATACTTCTCATTTTTTCGATGTGGGACAAAGAATATTTTTGAAATACTATATATTTTACAACATCAGTATCAACACCCAATATATTTTCTTGATAGACTTGACCTGTTCCTCCATTCTTTTGACTAAGAGAACACTAGACATTTCCTGAGTCTTAAAACTCTCATTGTTTTGGACACTGCTATGCTTCTCAGAGAAAGATTCCGGTACTTCTTTGAGAAAGGATATGAAGAATTTGAGATCTTCGGAAAGAGATTTCACCAGCTGGATCTTCTCCACAGGAATTGAACTTGAAGAAGCATGGACTAATAGCAGCTCAAGGTCCTCCACAAGAAACTCAAGAAAAGGGTGAGCTTCATCCATTTTGTTGAGTATTCAGGAGAAGTGTTGGGATGCAATGTGAGTCAGAAAAATAAAAACGAGGTCCGTTCTCAGTATTGCTGATATGTGTTGTAGTTGATTGGCTTATTGTTAGTTTTGCTACTTCAATGTGATTCTTTGTACTACAAAGTTTAGTAATTTCAGTTTCCTTTGGAAGTTTCTGCATGTATTGGCATACAGCCGCACGAGGATTTTGGCTATTTAGGCCTCTTTACCTTTGTTTTATCAGATTCTGGCTGCAACTTGAAACAGAGAAGAAAATTCCCTTTGCCCTCTCCATCAACATTTATGCTTTCTTGTCTATATCTCTTTGTTATTTGATCAGTATGGGATCAGATTTATGGTGATATGTTGAGTACACGAGAAATATTAAGACATAGGGTGAGTTAACCTATGGAGTAAACTGCTGAAGCTACACTAGGTATTGAAGGATCCATGGAGTTTTAAATGGTCGGGAAATGGAGACTATCCCAACCAAGCGTGGTACAACAACTACTTCAACCTTTTCCTTCTCTTGGAAAAAACAAGGTACATGACAACTACATTGACTTAAATCTTTGATAAAATTCAAGTGGTAAACACAAAGTTTTGTGGATCTGGTATTAAAAAAAAAAAAAAAGAAGGATATCATGGATGTCTTAGCGTGAAGGTTACAAACTATAGCGTCTTTGTTCAACATTCCACAAGCCAAGAGTCACAGGAATGATGAAGTGCTGCTACCACAAATTCATAAATGTGGTAATATTCTACCAAAGACTTGATCAAGATCGGTTTATCATATTGAAATGGACGCTGAAGAAATAAAGTCTTTACTGCTAGCAGCTGTCATTAGTTCATAATTCCAGAATCCAATGCTGAAAAGGCGAAGTATCTTGAACATGCTACTGAAAGGCATGTATATAATATACAGGTACCTGCAGGGATGGATTGAAGATACAGTTCATGCTTTGGACAAGTTAAGACCTTTATTCTCTTATATGATACTCGTTTTCTGTGGCTCTAGAAATCACCCAGCTGAGTCCATTAAGAGCTATAAGAGTAGTTAATGCCTCAAGCTCAAGGTGACTGAACATAATAATGGTTCATTTGCTTATTAAACTCAGTCACAATCTTTATGTTTCTATATAAAGAACTGAATGTGCATTTTTGGTGGAGCACTTAGGTTAGTAGTACGGGAATCTAGTTCTTTCTTGTTTACTATAGAATGTATATTTAAGAGGCACAATGTGCAAATTTAATAACAAAAATTTTAGTAACCATGTTTGAGGGGGATTTGAGCAGAGTTGGTAATAGTTGGGAGAACTTGAGTTGAAGTTTGCTAAAAGCAATGTTTTTAAAATCAGTTCGGTGGCCGGATAAACCAGATGAGCTCCAGTTCACAGTTAATCGCTTCAACTGGTTCAATTGGTTGAGTCAAATGTCAAACTTTTTAAATTTATTTTAAT